AGACAAAATAGTCACCAATTGTTCCACCAACACGATATCATTTTGTGTTTCAAGTCTATTATAAACAGTAGAGTTTTGTGGAGGGATGTAGACGTTGCGATAGAGAATGTCCCCATCTAAACGAATTATTTCATTTCTAAATAAGAAAAACAAGCAATCATGTAAACTTAATTAAATACTTCCAGTATAATTTACAATCTCATTTCTGATAAGCGTCATACGTCAAACGACCACGTGTTGATGTACGAGGACGTGTTTTATCAAACACTTTAAACCAGGAAAATCATTTGAAAATTGGTGTTCGTGTTCAGTCCATGTTTCGGACAATGAAATAACATCAAATGATTTGAGGAAATGAACGAAATCAAGTGAAATAAGTTTGTGTTTTAAAACCTCTAACATTCCAAGACAAACAGTTTAAAAATGATGGACCATGGCCATGTCTCAATAGTGTAGCATCAACCATTGCACCTCTATCGCTTGACAACTGTCTATGCTGTAGTCGTGTTCGTGAATTTTTAACTCGTTTCGTGAAGCTCGTCCTTCTCTTACCAATCTTTGTCGTTTTTTTTTGTTGTTGGCCAATTTATCCTTCCGGGATAATAACCAGCTTTCCTATCTTGAAGTACCTTTTACCACCCTGGGATTTCAGCTTGTTTAGCGATTCGCGCTGCCTCTCGTGAGGTCATTTCCAATACCTATCCCAGCCTCTTTTAATGAAGGCCGGCCGGAGAGTGCAATTATCTTGTCATCTGAATGATGAAATTCGGCTATTATTGGTCGTACACGACCTTATATTTGTGAGCTTGGTGCTCGGTGAGCCCTTACAATGTCACGTGGTACCCATACTTTATCTTTCACATTTGCATTCAAAATATTGATTATCTTATATTTACATTTAGCAAACTTTTCACCAATTTCTTCAGCAATTCCGTAAAATCTGACATTGTCCCGTATACTAACCGCTTCCTGTTTATCCGCATCTTGATCCAAGATACCAAGTCGTGAAATAATTTGGTCAAGCTTGTTATCAATTTCAGCTACATCGATCCTGCGTATATTTCCATTTTCGCTAATTTCACCAACTTCATTTTTCAGTTCACAGAGCGATTTATCTAACTTAGTTACCCGTTCACCAAGTCGCGAATACGTGCAGTGTTTTTTTAAGTGTGTGTGGAGAAAAAAACATTGTTTGGCGGCTATTTTGAATTTATAATAAAGTCATTAGCGACATCTTGAATTAGTAAATCAGTTCTCCCGCTAAATTCCGTAAAAAGACATGCTCGTGATAAAGTTTATATTTAGTCTACAAATCTACTTTAATGACTTATGACAATTAATATAAATACGCTAAAACTTGTGACTTACAAAATAAATTCAAATATTTGATTACCCCAATTATACCATTAACTGTATGATGTTCTCAGGTTACAGAAAATATATAGTAAAACACCCGTGATATCGTTGGCCACAGATTGATTATAGATGGTGTGACCAGCGTCGTTTAGATTATTGTAGATGAAATGTCGCTACGATTCTAATTTCATCGCATTTTTATAACTATAAAGCAGTGTCATCTATGTTTTTTTCTTTGCAGGTGGCGCTGTAACAATAGTGTGGTAAAAGTCCTTGCTGTCGATATTCAAGTAACACCATTGTATCTTCCTGTTTTTGGATTATGCAGATGTTATTAATTAAATGAATACAATGATAACTATATACTATCAGTCTCATTCTTCAGTGCTTGGTGAAAACGTATTTTATTCAGTATGCAGACATTGACATATTCATGTCTATATTGAGCTTTAGACTGCCAGGGATAAAATAGTTTATGCTGCGTTTATATGTTGACCTTACAACATCATCATAAGTGAGACATCATAATAATACTTGAATGCCATAGTGTGCATCATGATCTTTATAAAAAAAAAATATTAAAACAGAACGAGTAACACAAAATAACACAGCACACACAATATTACGAAATGAATCATTATATACTACTAACTACGAAATAAGTAATAATGCGACACTTAAATACACTAATTAGCATTGCCATGGTCACCAATGCAGCAGCATGTGACCCTTTAACTCAGTAATAATAAAACCCATGCTTTCACACAAATAACTCATTACGTCATGTACACACAATCAGTTATGGACACAATAAACCCAATGATAGTGGCCACTCACAATAACATACTCGCTCACCATGGTCACAATCCCAGTGGTGATGGCTTATTCTACGCAGGAAAATGCAAGCTCAAATTCGAAACCATAATGAAGGATAACAATTGTGCAGATTTTTTAAAATACTCATTGGTTTTGTGCGGTAAGTGGGTCAAATTAAAATGTCTGTCATGAGACAGTCCACAGTACTGTTCAATTGAATTGTCAGATCATTAAATCGACTACCCAAGTTTTTTGTCTTCGTACGTACAGTTTTCAGACCAGACTAAATGACTGAATATTTCGTTTGTCTTGCCACCACATATCTAGAGAGCACTGCACTGCAGTCTCACAATTATATAAGAGTGTAATGCGATTGACAATAATTCATTGTCACAGATATCCATTCACGTAATTCAACCCGGTAGAAAGATCCTTGTTTTTTTCAATGATTCGAATGTCACTAAAATTATAAAAATTACAAGCTTACAAAAAAAACTTTCGCAATAATTTATTCAAGTTAGGTATTGATATTATACATTACAGGAAAGTAACTTGTATACTGAGAAATGCGCTATATATCTGGTATAAAACGAGTTGTGAAGTGGACGACAAACGCCTGTTTGCATGGCGTCATTTCGCCTCTTGGGGGTGTTGACGTCACTAACGTCACTAATGTCTCGGCCATACGTAATGCAACCCTCTGTTATAGATGGCGCTTATTAGACATATATCACGTGACAAGCTTCAAATGTCGGCTATAGAATTACATATTTCCGATATGCCAGCAAAACTTTCATCACCGTAGTCTGAAAAAAATTAAAAAATCCTGCCATATATGATGAAATCTTATGTGCAGTGCCCCTGATGCGGGCCAGCAGTATTATCAGGAATCGACACCCATCACTATTCATCATTAGTGGGTCATTTAAGCGAGTTAATAAAGGGCCCACTCACTAACATATAGCACACGATAGGTAGGTTAGGTTGCACGATTTAGCCATTGGGACAGTCCGACCAACCATTTATTTTCTCACTTGCACAAACTGAAAAAAAAAAAAAAACTGAACCGTGGCTAGTCCAGCGTAGAATAAATTCCTGTATTGCAAACTTCTGCTTTATATACCTACAAATCACGTGCCTGACATAAAGCTCATGATTGGATTGTTAAAATCACGTGAAGACAATAGTTTCCCATGGCTCACCAGTATGGCTGGAAACCATTTTGTACACCAGACTACACATCCACTCACTAGCACATCATAGGTATATGGTTAGGTTGCCACATAGAACAATAAAAGAACGGGTAAAAGAAAAGTTCCGTCACTCCTAAAATAGAAACAATACTTCTGTTGTACTGCTGATGTGAGGCAAAGAATAACTGGATTGTTGCATTGTTGACGAGCTCTGATACGCTTTTCATTAAACAACCGAAGATAACTTCAAATCTCGATCAACACCCTTTCATCACGTTTTATATCAATTACTCAATATATATATATTATATACATCGGTTATGTAATGTTACCAAAAACAAAACATTGCGTCTTACCACTACACGTACCGTTATGGCGTCTCTCACTATGTACCGCATTACCATTACAAGCACTACAATACGTGCATTATTACATGCTTTCATCCACGCGCCAATAAAACACACACTTTAGAATACGAATATCCGGGCATTGTTGTGGTCCAGTGAACCATGTACGGACCGTCGTCAATAACAACAGAGAGGTTATGCCATCAAACATTGATGGAGCTGCTGTTAATATTGTTGTTATTTGGAAAACAATTTTGATGACGTTCTTACCTGCATACAGAGCAGATTAGATGATATTGAATTATGATGTGTATAATGCAATTTACAAATTAATAATAATAATATATCGTGTTGCGTTGACGCTGAACATCTTACATTATTTAGTGTTTTGAGTATGCACATTTATTTGGGTGTGAAACCGCTTATATGTCATTGATGCATACTGCGAAGTCACTAAAACTAGAAGCAGGCGCCTGTGGACACAGAGACGGTAGGATGACACACTGAATGAATAACAACAGTACACAACTAAGTTTATTATATTATTTATTTATTATTATTGTAACCATTTATAATTCAAAGGTCATGTTTTGCTTATTAATTGATGTGTCCCATGTCACAGCAGAGGCATCACCAGCTCAATGTCAAAATAACATGATGATTTTATGTTGTTACTGAAATGTCGACAGCAACGGCTTCTAGCCTGAAGAGTCCACTTCTCCCCAGTTATCTTCAAAAAAATAGATAATTCTTCTTTAGCAGTATTGAAACAGTTTACATCAAATATTACAATACGTGACATATTAGGAATACATATGATGTCATAGCAATGAAATGAATCAATTTTCAGGCGGTGATGTACTTTATTGACGTAAATATTGACGTAAGGGGCGCTATTCAGGCACTAAAACTAGCAAATATTATAGGAACAAATTCTGTTTTGTAA